TTCCGCAACGCTCGGCCAGGATGCCTATTCGAATCAATCGAAATCTGGAACGAATCGAACGAAAAACTAAACATATCGCGTTTGGTGTATACCAAACGGTGTAGGCGTGCGTTTCGTTTCGTTTCGTTTCGATTCGATTCGAAAGAGGGAATGGAAAGCGTGTCATGGATCAAAGCACTCGATTCGCAGCCGCGGATGCAACCCGATTGCGAGCTATCTTGTTTCGAGTGGCCATTGGCATTAATTAAAAGGCTCGCGAGATGTAATCGAAAGGACGTCTCACTTGGGCCGATTCCTTGATAAAGATCGATTCCGGAATATCGAATGAAATTATGCATACGTGAATGACACGATATCGTGGTTTCTTGTCAATTCTTTGTTCTCGTGGATTTTCATGTCTCGTGCCATTTACTTGGATCACGGATTAATAGCTTGAGTCCTTTGATGATTTTCTTTTTTCCCTAGCAAGGGGATGCGCAGCAAGAAGGGAGGGGAAGGAGGAGGGGAAGAGAGAGAGAGAAAGGAGCGCGTTTTTATGTCCAATTTTCTTTATCATTTCGAGGTTTTTAAGAACTCTTCCTTCTCGTCGTTTGCAATTAATTTTATCATCTTCGTACTGTATATGTATCGATAAATATATTTATTTCAAGGATCGGATTATCTTTCCTGTTTTCTTTTTGTTCGATGGGAATGAAGACTCGTCGAGCGAATTTTTAAGTATTCGATTATTTCAACGGAAAAATAATTAAGTAATAAGCGAGTAAAAGTATCTATTTTTCACGAACGATAGACAAGAATGATAGAGTCAGCCGGAATGCGTCACGGGGCTATTGTGATTCCTCGATATTCGTACAATTAACAGGTGATTTTAATTGGATAATTCGGATCCGGTTCTTTCACCGGTGCACTCTTCCTTTTAATGGAACCCATCCTAAAACCTGACGGTTCGCGTTATGGAAGCCTCTGTCTATTCAGGTCGCTCTCAGCTGTCTGCTAATTCAATTAGCCAATTTTCATTGTACCGTTCACGCGTCTACCGGTCTGTTTTAATTCGTAGATAGAATCCATGAACGATATCCTTTTCCATCGTCCATTGTCCGATCCTTTTTTCCCTTTTCCCTTTTTTTTTTTTTTTTTCTTTTTTACGCTCTCCTTCTAATGTCTGAGTACGTCCATTTCGTGTTTGCTCTCGGTCAACTACGAAGCCTCTTCGTTCCACGAACTTACCGTATTACGGCCACGCCGTATTCCATCTGTCGGCGCGTTATTCGAGGGTGGAGCAAAATGCGAGCATAATACCACGTTTACAATTCAGGGCTGAATTTTCCAATTTTTATTCTTTTCCTTTTTCTTTTCTTTCGGTAGACAAACAGGGAAATAAGTAAATGTAAATGCGGAAAAATTCTATTCATCTAGCCAGGGGGAAAAAGAACGGCGATATGCGAAGGAAAGATATGCAAGGAATAATGGATGGGAAAGGCAGAGACCCAAGAAAACTGGGAATAATCGATCTTTATACATTATATATTACCAAAGAATGGAAGGGGGGGGGAAAAGTAGAGCGCGCCAACAAAGAGAAAATATCAAACTATTATCCGGATATTCACGAGTAAAATGTTCTCTAGCTGATTCTCACAGTGATTCTCGCACGAAGAAACGTATATATATATATATACACATAAAATTTTCACATTTTCACCAAGGATGGAGGATAAGAATTATGCATCCGTCAGCGGCGCACGTGTCGCAATAAATTGTAAATATCTCTCCTACCCTCGAGAAGATCTATCGATATCTGATTAAATCCCCGAAAGGGATATTCCTTGGCTCGAACGTGACGAGTTTTTGGGATCGATGGAAATTTCTCTTCTTTTCCCCACGATTCGTCGTGTAAATTTTAACGCGGAATCGAGCGTTAGAAGAAGACGCAATTCTTCGCAGAATGCATCCGCGAATGCACGTTTCGTCCTCGTTCACGCCGAAAGAACGAAAGAATACCGTTAAAGTACCTATTTTCTTTCTTCTTTCCACACCCTTAACGCACGATTTCTCTAGGGAGAAAAAAAAAAAAAAAAAAGAAAGAAAGAGCCGTCGATAACACGCTTGCTACGTACCAACTCGGCTAAAAAAGCGCCACCGTGAAAGTTAAACTCCTTCGAGGATATTGATTCGAGGAAAAGTTGGAAACAGGCTCTTGGCGCACGGAGGGAGAGAGAAAGGGAATGTTTACACACGAGCCACCTTCTCTCCTCCCCTATCCTCCTCTTCTTGGAAACAAGCTGTACCTGTTTGTTATTGCTTTCTCCCGTGGACCGGTTTCTTTAATTTCCGACGATGGATGTTCGCCGGGTTGTTCGAAGATAAACGGTCGGCACGAGGACGACAAACAGCGGAGCACGGAACAGCGAGAACGTTGAATATTTGACGAGCAAACTCCGGATGAATTTAACGACCTTTTCCCGCGCCCGGTGTTTGCCCACCGCGTCCCTGCCAATTTTTAGATCCCGTCAACTACCCACGGCTGGTAATACACGGGTGATAACGGGAGTCCCGCATGTTGAGCGGACCTGTTGTCTTGAAAAATACCATTGAAAAAGGTAGAGGTGAGTGGAGGACGCTGAACAATATTGTAACCGGTGTCCCGATAAGAAGAATACCACGCCTCCCTTCTCGTTCTCCTCGCTTTTCCCCCTCCACTCGACTATCGGCGCCTATTCCCCTCGAGGGCGTACGATTTCCAGTCGGAGGAAGACGAAGGCCGGCGCGGAATAAGGGATAAGAAAGAAAAGGGGGCGAGGACGAAATCCCGTCGAGGGACGTGGAAGAAGGGGAAAGATAGAGAGAGAGAGAGAGAGAGAGTTTTATTTACGAATTCTGTGGAAAGAGAGACGCAGAGAAAGAATAGGGGAGAATAACTTCGACAAAAGGTTAGTTTCCTTCGGGTGACGATGCTCCTGTTCGCGAACAACAACCAAGGGATACTCCACGGGACGAGTGGAGACAGTTATCGAGGGGAGGGGGATAAGGGAGGGCTGACGATTCGGGGAGGAAGGGTAGAGAGGGGAGGGGAGGAAGAAGCTCTATAGAATTAAGAGCCCATTAGCCTTTCATTAACTCGACGTCGTTGGATCCGCGGAGGGACGGACGGATACTCGTTTCTAACCCCTTCTTTGTGGCCGTGTCCCTCGCAACGAGCAGACAGAGGGAAGCAGCGTCTCGATGAAAACTGGATCCATTCAACCACCGCGAAGCCACTTACCACCATCTGGTGTACACGCAAACGAGTCTCCCCCTTCCCTATTGTCTCCTCCCAGAAGGGAAGAAGAGGGATCGCGCGTGTCGCAGTCGGCTCCAGTTTAAAGGGCGATCGCTACGCTAAAAAACGAAAGCGAAAGAGGAAGAGATTCGAACTGAATTTAAATAGTTGCTCGTCGAAAGGGATATATATATATTTCACGCTGTGGAAACTTTTCTATTTGGATTTATACTTTTGTAACGACGAAGATCGGGGAGGGGAGAAAGAGATTTGGAGACGAATACGCGGAGAAATTGAAATTGGAAAGAGGAACGCGTGTCGCGACGTGTGTGTAATCGCGACGAGGCTTTTCGCGTTTAGTCGTCATTCTATTAGACGATAATTGACTGTCAAACTCGTGGCGGCGCCGGCGCCGCGCAGGTTCGTTCGACTGTAATGCCAGAAACGGGTTAATTGCGTTATGGCTGTCATTATCTCGGTCGCTGAGCATGCAGCTCTCGAGAGGAGCGCCATCCACGAGACGCGGCTTGTGCACGTAATCCCGGTTACGTTTCGTTGGAACATTTAGTTCTAAACGTTCAACAAGAGACGAGAGGGATTTCGCAACGTTCATTCGATTTGCAATCGATTAATTTTTGAATTTCTTTTCTTATTCGGACTTTCCCCTCCTCGTCTGTGGATTTCGCGGTGTAAATGTACACAAAGGAACAGAGAAATTCCTAGAATTGAAATCCGCTCGATCCTGTAATTAGCTAAAAACACTCGCGAAAATCCGCACGCCACACTTTTACGACGGCGATATTAATTTTAATTCCTATTAAAACGGAAACGTAATTATATATTATTAATTATATATCTTTGTAAATGCAATTAATTATAAATGTAATTACTAAATGTTAATTATACGGGTAGTTATTTATAACTAAATTAAATGTCCATGTATTTTTGTAGCAAGGATTATTATAAATGGACTCACGGTCCATTAACCTACATTTTTTTTCTTCTTTTAGCGTTGGAAATGCACTACTACGCTCTGTCTAAAATTTGGAATAGGCCAGCGAGATATAGACGAGATTAAAAATTAATCCCTCTTTTTATATCTCGGAAATCGTGTCGTAGATAAAAACAAAAAAAAACGATTAAAAAAGATTTCGAAATTTTCCAATGGTGGAAGCGTTACAAATTTCTCCTAATTTTAATCGGGTTTTAAATTCGATTACGTTTATCTCTCTTGGAAAGAATATTTTTCCCCCCCCCCCAAATTCGAGGCATTTAAAGAACCCTCCAATCGTGTCGATCGGATAGAACAGAGATTTTCACAAATTTTATAATTTCTTCGATATCTACAACATCTCGTTTGCAAAAAACATAACTAAGAATACTAATATTTTCACGAGCATCCTACACACTCCAGGACGTCATCACATCCCAGTCATAATAGCTTAACCCACCAGTGATCCATCTCCTGGACCGACGACGAAAACCAACGTTGTCCTCGGAAATAAAGTCGAAATACGTGGCGGCGAAAGGGCAAGGCAGCAGCCGCGACGACGAGAATCCCCGGTTCGACGGGGACAGCGTTAATTAACGTTCTCGCGTTAGTCGTTGGGTCGATGCGTTTTCCGGTTTCACGCCCCTGTTCGGCAATTTCGTCGCGTTACCCTGGCGACGTTCGGTCGAGCAGGCCGCCCCCCTCGCGCCACGAATTAAACGGATAGCGATAGGGACGATGGAACCAACTTACCGGGATCCGAGGAAGGATGAGCCCTGGTTAGTCTGCAGAGTTGGAGCGGCAGATAACGCGTATCCGCTCGCGGTGGTGATTTCGGGGGCGGTGGTGTCGCGCTGAGAAAGCCGCGCTGCAACTCCCATCCCACCTCCTGGATGATCGACGCCTTCCTGAAGTACGGTGTCACCTCCCTCAGATACTTCACTGCAACGAGAAAAAAGTAACAAATCAGATTTTTGGAGAGAGAGTTTCGAAACGAAAGAGGGGGAAGAACTTCGATAAAATTTTTCACTCTTTGGAAAGGAAGTTACACTGAGACGAGATAATTAAAGTTGGTGGATAAGTCGGTGAGATTATAAGAGTGGCGAATGAAATGTCTTTCGAGATTCGAGAGATCAAGATGGACGATTTTTACGTAGCTTTTTACGTAGCCGAACGAAATTTGCAAAACGGGACCTATCTCGCCTCGTAAATCGTACCCGCGGCCGGATCATCTCCGTTCCGCCATCGAGGCGTCTGCGAGATACGCGCGCGGTCACGTACAGACTGTTTCAAAATCCAATTTGTCGTTGATGTTTCGACGTAGCTGCAGCCACCGATGCGATTACACATCGGGACAAACTCGTTAAAGTTCGAAGGAGCACACGAGCGCGAGAGGCTGGAAGGGGCTGGAAAAAGGGGGAGAGGAACACGTAGGTGCAATCCGAACGACACCTAACCGAAATACGTGCAGGTTGCAACCCCTAGAACGCTTCCAACTCGCAGGGAAATCGTAAAAATCCCGCTCGTAAAATCGGTATATATATATATATATATACCTCTTCCGCTCCTGAGCAGCTTAATATCGAACCGATCGGTGGGAATATCGATCGACGTTGCCCCTCCCCTCCACCTCCAAATTTCCAAAGCTCCTGCTTTCGGGTTCGAGTTAACCGAAATTACCGATTCGCGGCGGGCAAATGGCGGATTTACGACCGGTTTTGCTTTTAAGAGCGGGGGAGGGGAGAGGAGAGGATCGACGGTTGTTTCAAGAACGCATCTCTTCGTATATCCGGGGATGCATAGCGCGATAGATTTGCGCGGAAATTCGTTCGAACGGGTTGATAACCTTCCATTGATCGTAAACACTAATCATCATCGGCTTCGACCGACTTTTCTTTGCCGTAGGGAACGCTGAGGGGAGAGGGGACGAGCGCATTGCCGCAATTTCAACGATGCCCATTGATAAGCGCCGTAATGCGCGTCCCGAGTAACCAATCCCGGTTGGCGCAAACAGCCATCCATCTGATCACTGACTCGTCGCGTTATTAATAATTAGACGCGATCCCACTGTTTGTCCCCGATTTCCATCCGATTGGATTACACCTCGCTCGCGTCACCGCAGAATTTCTACTGCGTTGATATCGAATAAATTTGCCCTCGGAAGGGGCGTTCTTAGATTTGCGGGATAGTAGAAAGGGTAACGAAAGGGTTTGTTTCTTTCGATCGTGTCGTTAACTTTCTTTTTTGAAAATTTTCCAATCGTTTCGTCTCGGAGTCGCGAGTTGTTGTCGTCGTGAAAGGAAAAAGGAACGCGATTATCTCTTTTTTCGAGATTCGAGAGGCTTACTGAAGAACCGTCGCGCACGGGATTCACAAAGGGTGAAAATATTCGAGCGGAATATAGTTGGCAATTTTCGGGCGCGCGAGTGGACGAGCTCGAATCCGACGATTGCCCATAATTTTCGACCGCGTAGTGCTCCAAGCCTCGATCGTGAATCCATTCTTCCGACCAGTAATTTCGCCCCCCTCCCCCTCGATCGAATATGCGCCCGTTAACGAAATTCGCGACAATTTTCCCGCGTGAAGCGAATCCTGTATTTCGTGCGAGATTCGCGAGGTCGATGAATCCCCGGCGAGGGTAAACAGCCACGGATCTGAGAAAGACGGCTCTGCGTTCTTTTCTCGAAGAAGAACTCAAAGAGGAGAATCTAGGAGAGTCTACTACATCAGCAGGATGTTTAGAAAATATGATTTTTCTATTCGCCGTATCTGGAAAGAGGTAGAGAAGCTACTTGTGTGGGGCTGATCAAAGGATGACGTCCAACGTTGACGCTACTTTTCGACGGTCCATTAAAGTAACTAAGAGGATTCGCCCGGGAAAATGTTGAAGCTCGGATGAGGGGGGGATATATATCGTTTTTTCTAAAAATTATGAAACTGCCGGTTGAAAAAGCTGGACTGGAACTACGCGCTTGTCGCCCAGTTGTCGACGACTGAATAACGAAACGATAAATTAATTAAGCGTGGAGCGTGCTGGCCAGGATATGTTGATCAATTTTCGCGGTACAATTCTACTTGTTTTATTATAGTTGCGGAGCACGGTTTGAGAAAGGTTTTCGAAACGAAGAGAATCTCAGCCTGATACCTTTATGGGCCAGCGGCTGCTGAGAACAATTTCTATTACATCGCATCGTACGTATCCGAAACGAAAACCGTCTGGGACTGACTACACCATCGAAATTAGGGATACTCGGAAACGGGACCGCGTTTACAGCGAAATGAGCAGGTTCCCGGAATAACCACGCCGCCTCTAATCTACTTTAGCAACTATCCAAGAACAACTCGGAGGGTAGAACAACATTAGTTTTCCTCGGGGAATCGAATCAATTTCCGTATTCCGGGATTAATTAGATGCTCGAATCTTTCCCAATCTTTCGTCAAGAATTTACAGACCCCTCTCTCGATGCGAAAGAGAAATTCGTTTTTGAAACGGTTGGATCGGTCCATCACCGTCAAGATTTAAGAAGGGAGAAGCGATACAAAAGGGGAGGGGGGAGGCGAAGAAAATCGTGGAAAAATAGAGGAACCGAGGACGAAAAGCGACCAATACGGGAACGGCTTGGGAATGGAGTAAAAACGGATAAACCGGAAGTCGATCGCTGTCCGTTCTTCGACGGAAGATATTTTTAATATCCGCTCGTCTTATCCCACAGCCCTCGACTCAACCCCCCCACAGTGTACATCGAGAGGGGGGAGGAGGAGACTTGCCTCTATAAGAGGAATCATCTCGTATTGAAATTGCACGGAAATTTATCCGAGATCGTAGCCCGCATGCATCCATGCACCCCTTCAAAGTACGAATTCCGATGAAAAATGGATCGTTTCGAATTTATGAAAGCGGACAATTGATCCCGATGAAAGGCTATATTTTTTCCTTTCCCCCGTTTTCCCGGATTTTCCATTTTTTCGAGCTGTGATATTCTTCTTCCATTTTTAATAAAAGAACGGTAGTGGATATAGATAGATACGACACTCGCGAATGATTCCGTTCGACGTACTCGTTCGTCGAATATCCTCCTATCCTTCCTCCAGTTTTTGCATAATTCGATAATCTTCGATCAAAACTTCTTTCTCTGGCAAAATCGCAAGCGTTCGTTGCTCAAGATGTTAAAAATAAAACTCCAATTCAACTCCGAATCCGTTCGTTCAGAGGTAGCAGAATAATCCTCGATACAATAAGTAACCTTCAAACGCGTCGCCAAAAGGGGAAATCCGCGTGTAACTGGCGTGTGTGCCCATTATTGTGGGCGCACAATCGGATGAATCGATTCGCTCGAATCGACGCGCGATCGACATCGAAACGAAGTCGTTCGAACGTATATAACCCGACAACGAGACGGGAAACGACGTTCGGAGGTTGGAACACACGCTTTGGAGAGGTTCGCAGCCACCTGTGCTGTCCGATCTTTTGATCGACAGGTGGTAAACGCCACTTTGCGCGGGAACATAGAAAGTATTACAAGCGCGAGAATCCTTTCCCCCTCTCTGTTTACGAGCGTGTGACCCCCTCCATCCTCCTTCCTTATGCATACAGCGCGCATCACCGACGCCGATTTATTCCATTTATCGCGGGTAAAAATGTACAGATGATCTTGTTCCCATGAACGAGCTCGTATGAATATTGAACGATTCGCGAGTACAAACGTGTCAAATGTGCGTGAATTTTAAGTTTTTTTTTTTTTTTTCTTTTTTTTCGATATCAACGTTGCAGAAGATCATCGACATCGTTGAATTGAAATCGAATCGAGAAGAATTTGTTCCAAGTGAAAGTATTTTTCTAAAAGAAAGTCACTTTTCTTCGATTTATTATAATTAATTCTGTCATTTCTTATTATTGAATATCGTGTAATAATTTTCTGTGTTTTTTTTTTTTTTTTTAGAATAGAGATAAGACAGAAAATTATTAAGGATAATGTAGAAATAGTCAACGAGAGGTTCAAAAAATTTCCTCTCTGCATTTCGCGAATCGAAAAGAGTCGAGAAGAATTTGTTCAAAGTGAAAGTATTTTTCTAAAAAAAAGTCACTTTTCTTCGATTTATTATAATTAATTCTGTCATTTTTCGTTATTGAATGCCGTTGAAAATCGTATAATAATTTTTTTTTTCTCTTTAGAATAGAGAGAAGACAGAAAATTATTAAGGATAATATCAAGAAATAGTCAACACGGGATTCAAAAAATTTTTCTCTCTGCATTTCGCGAATGAAATGAAAGATCCAATTATCGAATTAGAGAATTGAGACTAAAGATATCTTTCCCCGGGTGTAATATCAGATTCGGTAAATAAGATAGCGTTATCCCTTCTAGATTGCTGAACCTTATTCTCGGGATAAGTTTCGTTAGATTAAACGGCTCGGGCTAGCCCGGCTCGGGAACGCGATCCCTCGAGATTTTTATTCCCCGGCCAAGGACGGATGCCTCCCACCAGACGAGAGAGATCCACGGTCCGTGAATCCTACCCCTTTTTCGCAACTCTCGCGTAATCGTATGATTTACATTCAAATTTCCTCCGCGAGCAATACGGCCTATTCTACGTCGAAATTTATTCCAGATTTCCGTTGGATCCGTTGGATAATAAGATTCGAGCTTATCATAAAAGATGGAAACGTAAAATCCTAACATGAAATATGTCTCTATTCTTTCAAACCCTTGCCCGTCCTTGTCAAATTATTCAAAATTATTTAAAAATGGAATAACTGTAGCAAGGAGTAGCTGCCATCGAACACTTGTCACTTGTTAATTAGATCGTATCTTCCTAAAAGAATGTACAAAAGTACATACATTATGTAAATTCGTCGAGAAGAATTTACGACTTATCATTTTATCAAATCCAACCATGTTTTCACCTTTCGATATACGTCTTTTTCTCAGATCTTCATCGAA